AGTATATTAGTACATATATATCTACTAGAGGCTGGGTGCACGGATTCGTGCACTGGTGGGGTCCCTCAGCCTAGCCTGTGGGGATCGGGCCGAAACCAGCCTGGTGCACAGATTCATCCAGGACATGTGCAGCCCGTCTCGCCCAGTCCTGATCGGCCGGATCCCAGCATCAAGCTAACCTATCGGTCGGAGTGCCTGCCTCCTGGTGGTCAGTGCACATCATAGCGACTGGTTGAACGGTTGAATGAACGGTTGGACACTTAGCATATTGGGCTTTTATTATATCGGACTAGAGGCCTGGTGCATGAAATTCGTGCACGGGTAGGGTCCCTAGGCCTGGCCTGCGATCAGGACCAATTGGGGCCTTCTGGCTGCCGGCCGGTGCCTTCCTTCCCCAGCTGCCAGCTGCCAGCTGCCAGCCAGGACCTTCCTTTGTTCCATGCTGCCCCCTGGTAGTCAGTGCACATCATAGCGAGTGATCGAACTCCCAGTCTCCCTGTCGAATTCCCAAGGGGACACTTTGCATACTAGCCTTTTATATATATAAATATATATAAAAGCCTAAGTGACCATCCGACTATTTGACCGGTAGCTATGACACACAATGACCACCAGGGGGCAGACGCTCAATGCAGGAGCTGCCGAGCTGCAGTGACTTGGCAGCAGCGGTTCTCGGGTGACACACCCAGAACCAGAGGAAGGAGCCCAATTCCGGGGTGCATCACCCGAGAACTGCCCTCTCGCTATCCGGGACCCCTCGGGGGATGTTGGAGAGCCAGTTTCAGCCCGATCCCCGCAGGCCAGGCTGAGGGACCCCACCTGCCAGAGGGAGACCACTCACTCTGCAGATGATCTTCAAGCCCCAGTGCCACTCCAAGTGTGGCTGGCTGGGGAGGGACCGAGGGAGATTGGCTCCAGGGCCTGTCCTGCCCGTCTTGTCCAGTCCTGCCCCACCTGCCACCTTCTAATTAATTTCCTTTCAATGTTCAGGAATCTGTGCACCAGGTCACTAATAAATATATAAAGCAGGCAAAAGAATTGAACAAAACTTTACAAAAAAGAAACTAGCTGGTTTGGCTCAGTGGCTAGAGCTTCGGCCTACAGACTGAATGGTCCTGGGTTCGATTCCAGTCAAAGGCACATGCCTGGGTTGCGGGCTCATTCCCCAGTAGGGGGCGTGCATGAGGCAGCTGATCAATGATTCTCATCATTGATGTTTCTATCTCTCCCTCTCCCTTCCTCTCTGAAATCAATAAACATATATTTTTAAAAAAACTTCACAAAAAAGAAAAGCCAAGACAACAATGAATATTAATAAAGGTACTCAAATAGTAATCAGGGAAATGCAAATTAAGATCACAATGCATTTCCAATACACACTCATCAGAATGGCTAAAATGAAAAAGAACACTACCACCAAATGTTGGTGAGGGTGTGAAGGAGGGGGAACTCTCATACACTAGAAATTTGTTCAAACACCAGGAAAACTCTTGAACATATCCTACGACCCAGCAATTCCACTCCAACCAGATGTGAACATATATCTGCCAAAAGATAAATTCCCATCAACAAACAAATGGATACATAAATTGTAGCATCTTCACACACAGAAAACTATACAGCAATAAGAATACAGCCCCATGCAACAGAGTGGGTAGATTTCACAAACAAAACTGGGCAGACAGCAGACATGAAACAATAGATATTTTGTGGTTTTATTTATGTAAAGTACAAAAACAGACAAAATTAACCCATGTTAGAAGTCCAGTTAGTGATTACCCTTGGGGGCATCCTGGAAGAGGCATGACAGCCATCCTGGGGAGCTGCTCATGTTCTCTTCTTCAGCCGAGTTCTAGTCACCTATTGAATTCAGTTTATAATATTTCATCCAGCTCTTCATTTATGACTTGTGTACTTTTCTGTACATATATTGTACTTTAAAACAGTTATTTTAAAAAATTAGATCTTTGCCAAAACCGGTTTGGCTCAGTGGATAGAGCGTCAGCCTGCGGACTGAAAGGTCCCAGGTTCGATTCTGGTCAAGGGCATGTACCTGGGTTGCGGGCACATCCCCAGTAGGAGATGTGCGGGAGGCAGCTGATCGATGTTTCTCTCTCATCGATGTTTCTGACTCTCTATCTCTCTCCCTTCCTCTCTGTAAAAAATCAATAAAATATATTTTAAAAAAAATTAGATCTTTAAATACAGACATAGATAAATTCCCAAGATGCATCACTGAATGAAAAAGCAAGCTGTAAAAACAGTATGTACATTCACTTTGGAAAACAGTATGGTAGTTCCTCAAAACATTAAAAATAGAATTACCATATGACCCAGCAATTCCACTTCTGGGTATTGACCCAAAAGAACTGAAAACAGGGTCTTGAGGAGATATTTGTACAACTATATTCATAGCAGCTTTATTCACAATAGCTAAGAGGTCAAAGCAATCCATGTGTCCATTAACAGATGAGTGGTAAAACAAAATGGAGTGTATATATACAATGGAATATTATTCAGCCTTTAAAAGGCAGGAAAATCTGCCCAGCCATTGTGGCTCTACCTATGAACCAGGAGGTCACAGCTCGATTCCTGGTGGGGGCATATGCCTGGGTTGGGTTGTGGGCTCAATCCCCGATCATGCAGAAACCAGCTGATCAACGATTCTCTCTCATTATTGATGTTTCTATCTCTCTCTCCCTCTTCCTTCCTCTCTGAAATCAATAAAGAGATATATATATATTTTTTTAAATAAAAGCTTAAAACAATAAAAATAAAAGGCAGAAAAATCTGACATGTGCTACAACATGGATGATTTTTTTTGAGGACATTAGGCTAAATGAAATAAGCCAGTCATAAAAGGACAAATACTAAATGATTCTACTTATATGAAGTACATAGAGTAGGCAAATTCATAGAGACAGAAAGTGAATGGTGGTTGGTTACCAGGGACTGGGGAGAATGAAGAGGGGGAGTTGTTTTTTCATGGGTACAGAGTTTCAATTTTGCAAGATAAAAATAGTTCTAGAGATTAGTTGCACAATTATGTACATGCACTTAATGCCACTTGATCTGTAGACTTAAAAATGGTTAAGATGGCCCTAGCTGGTTAGGCTCAGTGGATGGAGTACCTACCGGCTTGCAGACTGAAGGATCCCAGGTTCGATTCTGGTCGGGGGCACGTGCCTGGGTTGTGGGCTCGATCCCCAGTGTGGGGCATGCAGGAGGCAGCTGATCGATGGTTCTTTCTCATCATTGGTGTTTCTATCTCTCTCTACCTCAACCTTCCTCTCTGAAATCAATTTTTTTAAAAAAATGGTTAAGATGGTAAATTTTGTTAGGTGTATTTTACTACAAAGTTTTAAAAGTTAAAAATAAAAAGTACATAAATAAATATTCAGTGTGCTTCTTATAAAAAATGTGTAAAATATGCCATTTCAGTAACAACAACAAAAATCATCAATAATAGCAAACATTATTGTCCTTCCTATGTGCCAGGCACTGTCCTAAATTCATTACGTATTTGTATTAGTAATCTATTGCTGGGTGACAAATTATCTCCCCAAACTTAGTGGTTAAAACAATTTTTTATCACTGACATAGTTTCTGTAGGTCAGTAATCTGGAGATGGGTTAGCTGAGGGTCTCATGAAGCTACAGTCAGCATGTTGGCCAGACGTAGTGGTCATCTGAAGATCTGTCTGAGGCTGGGAGATCTGCTTCCACGATGGGTCACTCACATGGTGCTGGCTGTTGGCAGGATGCCTCAGTTCTTCCGCATTTGGTCTCCCCATTGCCGGCTTTACTGTTGTTACATCATGATGGCTACCTCTCTCAAAGTAAACTATCCAAGAGCGAGATCAAGGTGGATGCTTTTTAGGGCTTGGTTTTGGAAGCCACTTAGCAACACTTCTGCCACATTCTATTGGTTAGAAGCAACTTACCTAGTGCAGCCTATACCCAAGGAGAGAGGAATCAGGTTCCACCTGGTGAAAGGATGAGTTTCAAAGAACCTGTGAACATATTTTAAAACAGCTTCATACATCCATTGACTCCTGACAATAATCCAACAAGGTGGGTACCATCATTCATTCTCACAGATGAGGAAACTGAGGTATTGAAGGTCACACAGAAGGGGAAGAGCCAAGACTGAAATCCAGGCAGTCAAACTGGGTAGTTTTTCTTAATCACTAATATCAACCAATAGAAGAAACCAATTGAAGAAAAAATATTTAAGGCCCTGGCTCGATTGCTCAGTTGGTTAGAGCATCATCCTAATATGCCAAGGTTGCTTGTGGGTTCTATCCCCATCCGGGCACACACAGAAATTGTTGTAATGTACCCCACGAGTAACACACAGGACGAAAGATCAAATCAATGAGTCATTTAATCAATAAAGCCGGTGACTGCAAGGGAGAAGCGGCTCCAAAACTCGCAGTGCCCAGTGGCCAAAACATCAGACTTATATAGGCAAATATCACAAAGGTATTGATTACATCTTGAGGTTTGGAATGAGGAACCTGGTTTGCAAAAAGCAGTTTGTTACAGAAACTAGATTGAGCAAGTTAGTTATCTACAAAGATTAATTATAGTTTCAGGTCTTGGGACCACTGAGTCAACGGAAACACATTTTCTGGAGCCACTGAAGCAATTTAAAGTAATTGTGCTGTCCTGGTCTCCAGGTGCAGGGGAATGTGTTTTGAAAGACCAGTAAAACCACAATCAATGGGGTATTCAATCCACAATCAATGGAGTATTCAATTGAATGGGATGATTTATATAAGTTCAGAAAATCAAAATAACTTTTCTATTATTTTAGCAAGCAGATAAGTACAGAAGCCAGAACAGCAGGGTTAAAATATTTTTTTTTGGGGGGGGGTTAAAATATTAAACAGCAATTTTTACCTGAGATGGTTGCTACCATGCTTCAAAATCAACCAATGAATGCATAAATAAGTGAACAACAAATCGATATTTCTCTCTCCCCCCTCCCTTCCTCTCTCTCTGTAAAGATAAATAAATAAATATTTTAATTAAAAATATTTAAGAAGGAGCATTGACAGGACTCGATAACTGGTTGGATGTGAGAAGTGACAGCATACGGGTGACACCCACACACAGCCTCCCTATTCCTTGAGCAGAGAGGCTAAGAACAGAAAGTGTAGAGACAGGGTCAGGCAGAGTTATGATCAGTTTGCTTAAGGCAAATAATTTTGCTCCAATTTCTTCATTTTAAATAAAGCTGATAATATTACCTACCTGTCGGGATGTCTGTGAGGATTAAAGGAGATGGTACATGCAAAACCATCAGTTTCCGGGGGACTGGTACAAAGAAATAATACATGGTAGCTTTCCAGTATACTTATCAGTGCAATATCCTATTGAATTATTCATTTACATAAACCTTATCCTACTGAAATGTGCCCCCTCCCCCCATAGCTTGGAGTGGGTGACTAGCTTTTGTAGCCCCATTTCTAGCCCTGCGGGCGCCCAGCCTGGGCTGGAGCGTAGGGGACCCAGGCACCGCTCCGGGAAGTCAGACGTGCGAGTGCCTCTGACTCAGTCCCTCTCCTTGTGCCCATTACACGGATGAGCAAACTGAAACCCAGAGCCACGCGGTCACAAGACAAGTTACTGGCGGAGTCCAGTTTCTAGAATCGGATTTTCTGCAGATAGAGGCCTCAGTTCCTCATTTCTCACACCCATCCCCCACGCCCATCCTCGCTCAGAATCAGCACCGTGAAGAGCTGCGCAGTTTTTCTGAGAAGGAAGTTGGATCATCAGTCCCACGAAGCCCGGGGAACTCTAAAAATAAAGGAAGGAAAACCCCTCCCCGCTTCTTGGGTATCTGTGAATGAGGAAGGATTTTTTTCTAGTTATGAGGCAAGAGGATGCACTCTGCTGAGAGTCCCCCTTGGTTCTGGCTCACACCTCTGGTTTGTGGTCCCCGTTGAGGGGAGATTTGGGGGTCGCGAGGCATCAATGGGTGATTTTGCGAAGAGGGCAGCTGGGAGAAACAGTCTGCGCTCAGACTTCCTCAGTCGCGCTTCAGATGGCGGCTGCCCGGCCACGCCCCCAGCGGCTGGAGAGACCCTTTTCCCAAAATGGAGAGCGCGAAGGGCGAGAACGTCCATCAGAGTTTGGCCCCGCCCCCGAGGACAGCGAGGGCCAATTAGCGACCCTCAGGGCGGGTGCGAGGCCAGGGGAGGAGGCTGCTGTTGCCCTAGCAACCACCCGGGAGAAGGAAGGCGGTCGCGGCCTGGGAGGGATCTCGGCGCCGCGGGTCTCTCCCTGCCGGGAAGATCGCGGGAGAGCGCGAGCCAGGCGGGAAAGCAGCGCCGGTGGAGAGAGGGACAGGTCAGGCCCATCAACTCCAGTCCCGAAGCCGCTTTCGCGCCTCCTGGTAGCGGTTCTGAAGTAGGCATAGCGCATGCGTACGCCTGGAGGCGGGGCTTTGCGCCAGCTCTTAGGACGCATGCGGAGTTGGAGCCTTTGCGCTGGTGGGGGCGGAGCCACTGGCCCTGGGCGGGGCTTCCCTCTGCTTTGAGCTGGAAGTTGTAGAGTTAGGTGCCTGCTCTTCAGCCCGGCCCTCCTCCCCTCTATTTTCCGGGCTCCCCTGGAGAGGCATTTAGGATCGTGTTAAGACCCCACACTCAGTGGTTTGGCGAAACTACTCTGCCATCCTAGTACTGTTCCTTATTTGGCCTCAGTTTCCTCATCTGTCAGGTGGAAATAACAGTACACTGACCTCCCAGGGCTGTGACTCTGTTTTTACCCTCCTAGGGCTATGGCTGAAGTGCACGTGATCGGGCAGATCGTAGGGGCCACCGGCTTCTCGGAAAGTAGCCTCTTCTGCAAGTGGGGCGTCCACACAGGTACTCCCGACCTGGCTCATTCCCCACTGAATTCCAGCCTAGAGGCTCCCCCTCCTTCCTTGACCCCCTGGCCCCGCCTCTGAGCCCCATCTCCCATCGGCTCTCAGGACTCCTGGCCCTGACCATACTGTGTCCATGTGTCTCATGCTCCCGTCTTATCCCTTTCCATCCCATCTCTGGGGGCTCTGGCTCCTGCTCTGAACACACAGCCCCTAAGGTTATGGGGCTATAGGCTAGACCCCACACACACACTCCCAATCCTCAGAACACTAGACAGCCTTAACCCCATGGTTTGGACTTCATTCACTGCCCTAGGGGTGTCCTGGGTCCCTCCCCTGTCTTAATTCTTTGCTTAAGAGTCTCCATTTATTGAGTTCTCACTGTAAAATGGAAGTTTCCATTCCAGATTTACAGAGGAAAGGCCACCCTCTTGTGCATAATTCTCTGTGAGAAGGGAGGAACCTGTTCTGGTAATCATCCACGCCCATCCATATGGCCCAGGGAGGACCTCAGAGGCCCCAGTGTGCATGTCTCCCATGGGAGGCAGAATAGTGTGGTGGTATGTGTAACGGTCAGGGCCACCAGATCTGGGCTCAAACACTAACTCTCCCATCTGTTAAAGTGGGGCCTGTGAACTTAACCTCTCTGAGTCCCAGTTTCCTTGTCTGAAAAGCTAATAGCTGAGAGGCAGCACATACTGAGGTTAAGAGCACAGACTGCCTGGGTTCAAAACCAGTTGTTTATTAATTATGTGACTTTGGACACTTGTCTTTGCCTCAGTTTTCCTGTCTGTACAATGGTAATAATAACAATACTTACCTCATGGGGTGATTGTGTGAACTAAATGAATAACAACGGCATTTAGGAGAGGACCTGGCCTAGTAAGTGTTCACCCAGCTCATGTAAAAATTGGATGGGGTCTTGTTTGTAAAGCTCTGGGTATGTTGCCCAACAGATAAATGCACATGAAACGAGTGTGGCTACTGCTATCCTTATCTCTGCAGGCCCCGGGTCCTTGGTGGTGGTTGAGATTCCCTGGGAAATTGTGGTCCTCCAGCTGAGTACATGAAGAGGCAGCTCTGGAGTCAGACTTGGTTTCCAGTCTGGGCCCCATCTGCCCTGTGACCCTGGGCAGGTGCTGTCCCTTCTCTGAGCCTCAGTTTCCTCATCTGTAAAGTGGGATAGATTGTATGTGTAAAGCCGGACTCAAGGCCTGGTGCTTTCCTTGCCTGAATCAGAGAGAACAGTAACTCAACAGTTCAGGGGGCTGTTGGGGAGGGGCAGTTAATCCAGTAGCGAGCTCAGAGGCAGTCAGATAAAGGGCTTGGACTCTGCAGTCTGACAGAGCTCAGTCTGAATCCAGCTTCACCGTGGCACCTTGGTCTGCTGCAGTCCTGCTGTACCCCACGTGGAGAACAGTGCTTGACGCACAGTAGGTGTTCAGTAAATGTTCATGGAATGAATGGACAAGTGACTTTCCTTCTCAGAGTCTGTTTCTTCACTTGTAAGGTGAGGCTTATATTAGCACCCACCTCCCAGGCCCACTTATTTGTCCAACAAACATTTTTTGAGCACCTTCTGTATACTACTAGTAAGATCTGGTCTTGAGGCCCTGGGAATCCAGTAGTATGCAATAACCCTGCTCTCCTGGGGCTCACAGGAGGGGAGACAAAATAAATAAGCAATAAAGAAATGACTGTCATGATTACAGATGGTGGCAGGTACTCAGAACAAATTAGATGAGATAATGTAACACGGATTAGTTTTGGATACAAGGGTGAGGGAGAACCCCTCTGTAAAAGTGCCATTTGAGTTGATCCCTGGAAGATAAATAAAAGCCAGGCATGGGGACATCCAGGAGCAGACTTCCTAGGCAGAGGGAACAGCCAGTGCAAGAAAGGAAATAAAAACAGGATCAGCCTAGCGGGTTTGGCTCACTGGATAGAGCGTTGGCCTGTGGACTGAAGGGTCCCAGGTTCGATTTTGGCCAAGGGCACATGCCTGGGTTGCAGGCTTGATCCCCAGTAGGGGGCGTGCAGGAGGCAGCCAATCAATGATTCTCTCATCATTGATGTTTCTAGCTCTCTCTTCCTCTCTGAAAATCAATAAAAATATATTAAAAAAAAAAAAACAGGATCAGTGAGGCTAGAGGTAGTGAGGGATGGGAAGAGTGATAGGAGATGAGTGCAGGAAGGGGACAAAGGCCAGATATAGGGCTTTGTAAGCTATGGGGAGAGTGTAGACTGGGGGTGGGGTGGGATTAAAAGTCCTAGAAGGCGGATTAAATGGATTCATCACTAAAGTGCTTAGCACAGGGTCTGGCATTTGGTAAGCAATCGGTGCGTTTTTGCTATTATCACCCTCAGTAGGACTGGTATTATGTGCCTTTCACAGTGCGTTCATGCTTTTTGTCGAAGGGCACCCTTGGTCCCATCTTAGTCCTTGGACTAGGCCTCTAAATGCAGTGTGAGAATAGTGACAAAACAATACCCAACACTGATCCAGCACTTACTACACCCCAGGCACTGTTCTAAGTGCTTTGTGTGTATTAGCTTATTTAATCTGCTCACAAAATGACAAGGAATGCAGTATTACACCCACTTGACAGATTGGGAGACTGAGGCAGGAAAAGGTAACTTGCCCAAGTGTGTGCAGGCAGGAAGAAGTCATGCCAGGATCTGAACCCAGCCCTTTGGCCCCAGAGCCCACACTTTGTACCCACTGTCCTCCAGCGCTAGAAGAAACGGTCTCACAGCCACATTGGCATATCCTTCCTGATGCCTGCCTCCCACCCTTCCCTACCTCATTAGTGTCCTGGCTCTCATTGTAGGGGCGGCATGGAAGCTCCTATCTGGCGTACGGGAGGGCCAAACACAGGTGGACACCCCCCAAATAGGGGACATGGCCTACTGGTCCCACCCCATTGACCTGCACTTTGCCACCAAAGGCCTCCAAGGTGGGTTCTCGTGCTCGGCCCTGCGCCAGGCTGAGGGGACGGGATAGGGGGGTGGAGGCGGGGTGGTTAGCAACACTCCATGGGACTGAGAACACCAACTCCTGTCCCTGCTTCCCCACCCTTTGGGTCCCTTTCCTGGCCAGGCCTGGCCCTGGAGAGACTCAGCTGAGGCCTCCCATGGCTGGCTCTAGAGTGTGTCAGAGGCCAGGGGTGAGGGGAAGGTGGGGACCAAGGGGAGAGGAGGGATGGCTTTCAAAGAGAGAAACCAAGAGAGTCTTCCATCAAGAGGAAGCTGGAGGGTTTATGAGAGGGAGGGAGGGAGGGCTGGTGGCTGTCCCCAGGCAGGGCTCCTCTGCTGTTCAGAGGAAAAATGAGTTTGTGGGGGAGGAAGGGTATCAGAAAATCTTTTCTGGTGGAAAATTTGGGTCATTGGAGAGGAGTGAATTCCAGGAAATGGCCTAGGTAAATATGCCATATATTTCAACAATATAAATAATAGTTACTGAGGACATGCCCTGTGACGAGTGATGCCGGGGAGGTGTCGGTGACGGAGACAGCTCCTAGCCCTGTCCTCACAGGGTTCACCATCCCATGGGAAGGCAGAGCTGTTCCCAGACAGTGGTAGCCCAGAGTAGGCAGGGATGGGACGGGGAGTTCTGGGGGACTATGGGAGCCAAGAGGAGGCTCCTGACTGCCAGGGAGTTCAGGGAGGGCTTCCTGGAAGAGGGGATGTTTGAGATGCTGTGAGAGACCAGTGGGAGCTAATAAGGCAGAGGGAAGGAAGAGGGAAAGCCCAAAGGGTAAAGTGAGCTAGGGCATTTGGAGGATGGAGGGAGAGCAGGAGGACTGCAGGGGTGAGGTGGCAGGGGCAGGCCATGCAGGGCCTTGAATCCCAGGCCACTGAGCTGAGGCCATCCCCTGAGGGCACTGGGGAGCCACAGCAGGTGACTGACAAGTCAGATTTTGCTTCTAAAAGACCCTTCTGGCTGCTTGTGGGTGATGGGTTGGAGGGTGAGGCAGGCAGGCACTGTCCTTTCACTCTTCAGACCCCACGTTCTCCACTGGTCCCACCAGGCAGCTCCCACCAGGGCCTTTTCACACGTTGTTCCCTCTGCTGGGCATGCTCTTCCCTAGATGTCTCCATGGCCCACTCCCTTCCCTACTTTAAACATTCACTTACATGGCCCCTTCTTAGTGAAGCCTTTCTTGATCATCCCCTTTCTAAAACTGCACCCCACCCCCACCCTACCTAGCTTTATTTTTCTCCAGAGCAGTTATCACCATCTGACATACCCTATAATTTGCTTATTTACTATGCTCGTTGTCTAGGATGTCAGCTACACTAGGGCAGGAATTTTGATCTGTTCTGTTCACCTCTGTGTCCCCAGCTTGTAGAACAGGGCCAACCACAGAGGGGCTCAGAAAGGAGAGTAAAATGAGGCTGGATCTCCAAGGCTTTGCCGGCCAGGCTGAGGAGCTGAGCTGTATTCTTAGGACACTTGGGGACCGGTGGGAAGAGAAAGATGCTTCCAGATGCCAGGAGGAAGGTGAACTGGAGGGGACAAGAAGTCCCTGAACCCAGAGAGGACAGGGTGGGAATGGGGGAGAGGTCTAGGACAAGGCTCAAGGTGCTCACTCACCTGTGGACTGGGCTCCCTTGAGATGGGAACATGGACAAGAGAGGGGATCAGCAGAGGCCTGATCTCAAGGGCCTTGGGTGTTGAGGTTGGGTTTTATTCTGAAGGCATTGGGGAGCCATGAAAGGGTTTTGAGCAGGGGAGGAATATGGATTCAGAAATATCCATTTGGCTGTTGTGTGGGAGTGGGAGTCCAGAGAGGAGGCTGGGGCAGACGCCAGGGAAGAGGACTGAGCCCAGAGAGAGACCGGCTGCACCATCCCTCTCTCCTGTCTTGCAGGCTGGCCCCGACTTCATTTCCAGGTGTGGTCCCAGGATAGCTTCGGCCGCTGCCAGCTTGCCGGCTACGGCTTTTGTCACGTGCCCAGCAGTCCAGGCACCCACCAGCTGGACTGTCCCACATGGCGGCCTTTGGGCAGCTGGCGGGAGCAGCTGGCACGGGCCTTCGTGGGGGGTGGGCCTCAGCTGCTGCATGGGGACGCCATTTACAGTGGGGCCGACCGCTATCGCCTGCATACAGCCGCTGGTGGCACCGTGCACCTGGACCTGGGCCTGTTGCTGCGCCACTTTGACCGCTACGGCGTGGAATGCTGAGGCACCTGCCTTCTCGGCCCATCCACACCCCTGGGCACCCGTAAGGGGCAGGATGGTGCAGTGGTCAGAAACGCGGGCTCTGGAGACTGCCTTACCCGACCCAGCCGAGGCCTGGGGCAGCTTCTGTCTGGCCAGCACCGCAAGCCCAGTACCTCTCCCTCCGAAGTCCATTTTCCCATCTGTGAAATGGGGGCAGCAAGTATGTGGGGTCCCAGGGGTTTGGGGAGAAGAGGCTGCCTCACACATGGAAGTGCTAAATAAAGAACAGTTCTGACAGGTGTGGGTGCCTTCCTGAACTCCTGACCTGTCAGCTGGCCGGTGCCCCATCTTTGCCTTAAACTCTGGGTGCCTCCTTATGACCCCTCTCCTTGGGGGGTTTCCTCCTCTGGGCCCCTGGGCCCCTCTGCCCCAGTCTCCCACTCTCTCCATTCTGGGTCCCCTCTTCGGATCCCTTGTACTCTGGGTCCCTATCCTCCGACTGAGCCCTCCCCGCCAGGTCTTCGTTCTCTCCGTCA